CCAGTTTTCCCTCTAGTGGTGGAGGGTCCTGAAAGGAGCAGCAATATTCTTGCTGAGTTAGAGACTGCCCTGCCAGCAGATCCAGCTGGCTAGCAGAAAGTGTTAAGAAACTCTGCAGTGACCCTTTGGGAAGAAGCATAGGGGAGAGAGGAGCTGATATGTCAGGAGCCTGGGAAGAGGTTGAGGTAAAGGCCTAAGGTAGGAAGTAGCTCAGTAAACCTCAGGTGGATATCTGTAGTCAGGCTCTGATGCTGTAATTAGGGTCCCGGGTCTGGACCCAGTGCACAGTCTGAGTTCTGCCAGCCCACCAAGGAAGAGTGAATACTACACACCCAACAGGTAAAGAGTAGTGAAATCCCCTGATACTAGAGAAAAGGACTGGGGAGTCGAGCCGTTGAGCATGACATTGAAGGACACTAACTGTTGGAGTGGTGGGTTACCTCTGAACGGGTGGGACTCGACATGAGCATCCTCAGGGGCAGAAGTCTGCAGGTTAACCCTGAGGAACTGTGGGTGGTCAGCACATCAAAGGTTCCTCTCCCCATTTTATGCCATACCCCAGCCACTAAGAGGTGGTCCAGCCAGTGAATCACATGCTTAGTGGTATCTGGGGCCAGGAATGTTTTGACCCATAAGTCCAGAAATTACTTGGGGGAGGAGTGTGGAATTGTCTCCATTGGAGGGCCCTTGTAAGTAGTTTTTCATTACCCCATCATTGGGTACAGTGCAGGGAGCATGTGGTTTCTGTAGTGGCTGGTACTTCTAGGCTGCAAAGCAGCCTACGGCAATGTCTTCAGAGCTGCTTATGATATTGCTCTGATATATGTCTGGGACCACATTGACTCGTGACAGCACAGAATAAGGGGAGCACAGAGGTTGCTAAAGGCTTTCTTTGTTGCTGCTTTGCCTGAGCTAGACTTCTGTGCTCTGCCTCCTAGAGATGCAGCACAAGGAAACTTTCTTCAGATCAGGTCCTAAGTGCAACAAAGAAAATTCTGTATCATCAAAATCACTTTAAATATGTCATTATCGGGTCCTAGATGTTTTTCCTCTTTTATCACAGCATGGTAGAAGTGTTAAATATGATGGGTCTTTATCATTATGGGCATGATTTTTTTTTCCACTACAGTAGAAGAAATGTCTTTTTAAAATTTCCTCAAAGGTAAAAGCTGCATTTAATGAGCGGACAAGATGTTATGAAATTAGGACTGATTCACATTGCAGAAGACATGAAGAACTGTTTATCTGTTACGGCCCTCATGATAACCAGCGGCTTCTGCTAGAATATGGTTTCATTGCCACCAACAACCCACACAGTGAGGTTTATGTCTCAGCAGGTTGGTAGCTTTATCTTAACGTTAAAATGTACAGGCATGGAAAGTAGAGGTGTTGGGGGTGGGGGAGAGAGAGGAGGGGCGGGGAGGGCTGTAGCACGCTCAGGTTTTGCACTCAGCTTCCTTGTGCCAAGGGGCTGGCCCTGCTGCAGGCTTCTCCAACCCCGGTCTCGGCCTCCAGGTGGCCGCTGTGGGGATCTGCTGGCCCCGCATACTTTGCTGCTGCAGGCTTCACCTCCCCTGCACTGCCCCCCCCCTCGCCTCGGTGCTCCTAGCCCTCATCCCATCACCCACCAGCCTCATAGGCAGCACAGCCCCTGCTGCCCCAGGAAGCAGCCTGTGGCAAAGCTGTGTGGCTCTGGGGAGCAGCTGTCTTGAGTCCTTGCCCCACCCCCAATCCCCTGCCTTGAAAGACCAGAGCAATGCCGGGTAAATCTTCCAGTACAGGGGTCTCCAACCTTTTTAAGCATGATATCACTTTTTGAATTTAATTGCAATCCAGCATATACCTCAAACCCAAATACCCTTGTCCCACCCTCCTTCCCGCCCCTTCTCTGAGCCACCGCCCCTGCTCACTCCATCCTCCCTCCCCCATTCTCACTCACTTTTATCAGGCTGGGGGCAGGAATTTGGAGTGCAAGAAGGGTTCACGATTGGGGCCAGGTTTTGGAATGCGGGCTCCAGCTGGGCACCTCTTACCCCAGGTGGCTTCTAGGCTAACGCAGTCTCGCTTCGGCCCTACCCCTACACCACTCTCAAAAGCAGCCAGTAAACTCCCTCCATCCCTGTCCCCCTCTGGTCTGTGAAGATGGGGCATGGGATGGAGGGAGGGGCACCCTGAGATCAGTACCCTCCCTTCCTCTTCTTCCCATACCCTGCACAGTAATAAGGAGGCTCCCATGGGGCGGGGGCAGCTCCAAGGCAGAGGGCAGTACTGCTGAGAGAAGCAGCCAAAGTGCCAGCACTTGATAGTCTCCTGGCCAAACCTCTGAGGATCACCTCTCAAAGGCTCCAAGATCTACCAGTAGATCCCAATCTACTGGTTGGTGACCACTGTTCTAGTAGTTTGAATTATGTTCTTATATTTTAAGTTCTAGTTAGCTTGTTTTCACTGTTTGCTTAAAGATCTTATATTTTTGCAGCCATCCTTCTTCAACATGCCTTTCTGGCAGACAAGCAGAGAAATATGAAGCTTTCCATTCTAAAGGATCATGACTTATTTGAGTAGGTATCTCTTTAAAGCTCTGGTTTCCACTTGAGAAAACAGTCACAGTAAAACTAAAATAAAAGTTCAGATGCTCCTTTTTAAATTTGCAAGTAAATTGGTTTATAAAAAATGTATCCAAAGTCTCTTTGTTTCTGTACTAGTGGAAAAGAATTTGTGACTAAAAGACAACTCAAAAACTAAGGATTAGGATTAGGGATCAGCACAAGACAGTTTGGACTGCCCTGTTCCACTGCTGTGGGAACCAGCAGAGCAAAAGGGATCTGGGGAGAAACCTTTTGCCTGTGATACCACAGTGTAGTTCCCACATAGACCATGGGCTCTTCCCATCCTTACCTGTGTCATGGGGTGGGAGGAGGCTGCCATTAGGCAGAAGCTTTGTTGCCACAGTTACTATTTGTGTGAAGATCACAAGCTGTTTTATAAGCCCCTGCTTTCTACCTTTCGGTAATTTTGGACACCTTTTAGAAATTTGACGTTTGGAAGGGATGGGCCATCCTGGAGACTCCTCACAGCTCTCAAGTTGTTGTGCCTTGGAGCAGACGAATTGTAAGTTTCAAATAAAGACTTACAGAAATGTGGTCATTTGTTTAGAAAATAAAGCATCTCCTATTCCTCTAATATGTGTCCTCTTGCACTAGCTGAGATGTAGAGACGGTAACATTGGATATATCTGCGTGATCATCTCTAACTCCACTAAGATTACTCACACGAGAAAGGCAAGAGCTATATATTTGAGAACTCTTGTCTGTTTGTCCATCTCCAAGGTGTCCCAACATGCTAGCCACTAGCCAAATATAGCTATTTGGCTGATTGTTAGCTTGAACAATGTGGCTACTTGGCCAGTTCATAACTGGTTGGGCACCTCAGGTCTGTCTGTTCAAGAACTCAACACTAGGACCACCTAATTTGATATACAGCTTCCTTTTATCATAACTTAAAGCAAGGTGAGGATTTGGTTATGCCTGGAATGGGGTTGTTTCTCATAAAATCATACAGAAAAGAGGCAGAATCACCTGACAGGTGAAAGGGGCTGGCTGGGGGCACCTCTCCCCACCCCCTTAAATGGGACTATCCCAGCCCTGAGTCTTCCACTCCCAGCTGCAGGTGCTTCATATTGGAACATTGCTGGCTGTTCCCTTTCATCAGGGAGCCAGAGGAAAGTGCACAGTTTGCTGCATTTCTCGCACGGGCTGGGGAGTGGAGGGGGCAGGCAAACCTGCCCCAGCAGGGGGACATGAACCCCCTCCCCTGGCTGTGCCCACTGGAACTGCAGCGCCCATAGTGGGGTGCTTCTCATCTGGCATCAAGCTGCTGCAGTGAGAGAGCTGGGGTAGTCCTCTCTCCCTGAGGCAGCTTGCGTACTGAATCTCTCCAGCCTCACTCCAGAGCAATGATTTAAATGTAGCATGTGCGTTTTCATTTTATTTTCCAAAATAATAAAAATTGAGTTAAGCACCCGAGCGACAATAGGTAAATCTTACAGTAATATATAATGTAAATGTCATTATCTGTCGCATACACAACAGCTGTATTCAGTTAAACACCAACCACTCTGCTGTTCTCTTCCTGCACCAGGAACTGGATATTAAGTTTTTGTTTCTTACGTGTTGTTTTGGTGGGTCCCATGAACTCAGACACTTCAGTTTTTCCTCTGAAAAGTATATTTCAGGGACTATTTTGGAAATTTCAGGACTATGTTCATAGCTGAAGGAAAAAGGTTCAGCTGTATTGATGTCACAAAGATGATCCTGCTTATTCCAGCAGTGAATTAAGCCTTCAGAATCTTGGTATTGTTTGAAAATGGCTACATGAGCATTGTCAGTTATCAAATATGTCTTAATTAAGAGGAAAAAATTATTTACACCCACCTGTGCTGGAAGGGCTTAATTCTCAATAGAAAATGTTTTCCAAAAAGTAACGGCAAGATCCAAGGAACGTGTCCGCTTTTCTGAAAAAAATGTCGGAAAAGTAGATGCGCTTTTTGGGCATCCCTGTAAACCATTTTATGAGGAAGAAGGGATGCTCCAAAAGAGGGGGTTTTTTCCCCTGAAATTTGGTCCTGTGTAGACAGGCCAAATTTCAGAAAACCTCTTTTGGAAGTAAATCGGAAAATACCGCAAATTGCGTTTCTTTTTCTGATTTATCTTTGTGGTGTAGACATAGCCTTTGACTTGGTTATATATCAGGGTTGGGGTTTTTTGGGTTAGTTTCTGGCTGGGCAATACAACAAATAATCACTTGTTTTTTTTGTTTTTTTTAAATTTCTCTAGTACCTATTGGAAGAAAGTGTTGCTTGGTGATATAATTTCAGCTAGAAATGAGGAGAAGAGTTTGAACATAGCGGCAAAAATATGTCTTTCCTTAATAGAGGATACTCAGCATGTCCTTGAGAAGGTAATTGAATAGAACAATACAGTGGGGCAGATTCTCTTAAGGGGTTTGTCTCTGCAGTGCTGCAGTCTGCACTAGAGAGTTGTACATTTTAGGTTCCGCTATTGTGTTGTGCACCCCTGGTATCCTACGGGCAGGGGCTACTCCAGCAGGGGCTGGGAGTTGGGAGCTGGTAGCAGCCCCAGACAGCCTGGATCCCACTTAATTGGTTAAACATCAGGCCAACTTAACATTTAACAATAGTATAAATTGACGTCAACAACTTGAAAAGAAAATAGACTGAGAATCAACCAATCCCTCTCCCCCCGCCCCTCCCCCCAAAAAAACCCTCTAGGAATGTTCAGTTTAGAAAAGAATTGACTTAGGATATGATCAAGGTCTATAAAATTCTGAAGAGTGTGGAGATAGTGAATAAGAAAGTGATCAATAGTCAAATCATGAAACCAATATAATGGAATGAATCCTTAAATACACTCATCTCCTCCCCTTCCCTTGAACACTGAAGAGTAAGGTCCTCAACCCTATAGACATTACTGCGCTCTTTTGGTTGCTGAGGCTATGTCTACGAAGAGAGTGTCTATGCTGCACGTTTCTAGGGGAACATTTTTGGGAAGGAGGAACCTGAATAGAGGGTATGAAATCCATCTTAATCCTAATGGAACTAGATTGCAGCCATGTAAAATAATAAAGTTTGTCTGCGAGTGGGATGGGATCGAAGAATATTTTGAACCAAAGAGCATTAGGAGCTGAGGCACAAATCAGACAGAGACACTGTTGAAGATGCCGGTAATACAACAGTCTCTGTGTATCCTATAAAGAGCAGGGTGAAAATTATAGTTGAACTAAAACAGGTGCCACATAAACCCACAGTAGCATCTGTAAAGTCAGTTGTGTCAGATTAAAAAGCTAAATAAAAATTGATTTTTAGTCAAGAAAAACAAATGTCTATATAAAGGCAAAATTTTTTAAAACAAAAATGGTGAACTCGAATGCCTGGCAATGGAAGAGGACTTTGATATAATTGGCATTATAGAAATGATGTAGAATGATTAAAAACTAATAGGATATGGTAATATCTGTTACAAACTATACTGGAAAAGTAGACCAGACTGAAAAGGTGGGGGAGCAGTGCTATTTCTAAAGGATGCCAGGGAAATTACTGAGAGAAAAATTCAGAGGGGAGAGCACTACACAGTTGAAGCTTTGTAGATACAAATTCCAAATGGTAAGAATGTAAATGTATTAGGGCTATGCCATTGTCCTCTGGATTAAGGAAAGAAAATTGAGTATACAATGCTGAGAGAAATAAGAGGCAGCAAATTGTAAGAAAATGATGACTGTGTATATAAGTTCAGATATAAACTGTTCAAAAGGCACGAGACAGTGTCAAAATTGTAGCTCATTTAATGAGTGTTCCTTAAAACAAAGTAAGAATAGCCTCTAGAATTATTTGTTGTAACTCGAGCATGAGAGCTAATTAATGCAGAAACTAATTGAGTTCCATTGTTGAAGCTGATCATGATGTCCAGAAAGTTGATGCTGGTGTGCGTTTGATGGACAGGGATTAGTTATTGAAGTTGTGGTGTCTGAGCAGTAATAGTGACTACAGTATAACTAGGCTCATTGTCTTTGACCTACTTTTTCATTTTGCCACTAATTCTGTTTTCTAATAAGTCATAAAACGTAACTAATATAGTTGAACCTCTCTAGTTTGGCACTTGCTGGTCTGGCATGATTTTAGTTAGCCAGATGTCCACTTATCATGGGTGTGGCCAAGTTCCCTGCACTCCCATAAAGTTTATTTACAGCCACCAGTCCCCTCTGTGCTGTGATTTAGCTGATTTACCCCGAGATGTCTTCTAAGAGTCCAGTTAGCAGTGGAAGTGTAGGTAATGCTGCTACGCAATATTGTCCTCCTGTGGTTTGGCAAATTCTCTGGTTGGGCACCAGTCAGGTCCCAAGGGTGCTGGACTAGAGAGGTTCAACCTGTACAGTACATTGATGTTACTGTATGTTACCTCTTGCACAAATTCACCTGTCACAAATATCTGTTTATGGGTGATATCTGTTTCTATTACTGAGTTTAAATATCCTTTTGGCTTTTGTACATTTTCAGATTTTCCAAATGAAAAAGGACAACATGAACCTTGAAAACCAGCTGACTTTGGTGGAAGCACTGCGTCTGGAAGACCTAACAATCTTGCAAACATCATTAGGGATTGTGCACAACTTGCTTGCTGCAATAACTTAACCTGTTCAAAAAGTAGATCACAGCACAGTGGCTTTCACTTGAAGGAGCTAGAAGCCTGCATAATATTTTTTTATGACCAGTAGCATCAAGGAATAATGTAAAATTATGGTGGAAAAGGTGTCCAGTTTGACATTCGCTCTAGGGCCATATTCTCTGCTATCTCCTGAGAGGCGCAGCCTAGAAAATGCAGGACGCAAGGGTGGCTTTGTCACTTTTGTGTTATCTAGGTTTTGGGCTGTTCTGGGAACCAAAGCACCTCCAGGCATAATTAGAGCTGTCCCAGGGGTTGATGGAACTTGAAGGTGCCTAGGGATTGGACTGCAGCCTAGAACCTTTATAGTGCCAAGAGGCTGCTCCCTGCTATGTCCCTACTTTCAGGCTCGCAGTGGAGGGCAGTGTAGAGCCACTTGCTGTTCCTGTGCCAGGAACATCTGCTGACCCTTTGTGGTCATTGAACTTGGCTGGACGTGCTTATAAGGTCTGGAGTACAGTCTGTGTCAGCCCCAGAATGACCCCAAAACCATCCCAACACCCAATCCAATGCATATGTAGTGCTGAAGCTGGAGGTTCAGGTCTCAGCCATCATGAAGAAGTGCGGATTTCCCTCCCCACATTTTAAAAATTCCCTCTACATTGATGCCAGCCTATGTATGTTTCTCAGGAGCACTGGCTCCTGCCTTCTCCCATGTGTGCAAGCACGTTTCCAAAAATAAACATTTGTTAACATCCCTCCCCTCTCCAATTTGGGAGCTGGCTGCCATTCAGAGTTAGAGGCAAAAAGGAACACGTGGAATAGGGGTGGGGAACCTTTTCTGGGCCGGAAGCCACTGGCCCACAGAAAAATAAGTCAGAAGCTGCACACAAGTGAGAAACAAACAAAAAAACACTCCTCACCAATGCTGGAGAGAGTCCCCGAGCCTCAGGTGCTAAATCCAGGCAAGCTAGGGGCTGCATCCGGCTCCCAGGCTTTAGGGTCCCCACCCCTGACTTAGAGCATCTAGTCTGACCTGTATATTCCATGCCTCTACATTTCACCCTGTTACCTCAGTATTGAGCCTCTTAATTAGTTTGACTAAAGCTTCTATCTCCCATTTTGGCATTCAGTCTTGATTTGAAAACATCAGAGATCCACCGCTTCTCTTGGATCCAGTGGTAAATTGCCATCACTATCGGGATTTTGTGCCTTATTTCCAGTTTGAATTTGTCTGGCTTCAGTTTCAAGCCATTGGTTCTTGCTATGTTTCTCTTCTAGTTTAAAGGCCCTATTGGTACCCATTCTTTTCTTCCATGAAAGAACTTGTGCACTGCAATCAAGTCACCTTTCAATCTTTTTTTGATAAGCTTTACAAATTGAGCTCTTTAAGTATCTCATTACAAGGTATTTTGCCCAGCCCTTGAGTCCCCTCTTCTTTTGGCTCTTTTTTGCACCCTCACCTAATTCTCCACATTGTTTTTCAAATGTGGGTATCAGAACTGTAGGGGCAGAATTATAGAATCTGTCTCCCCAATGCTGTGCAGAGAGGAAATATTCTCTCCCTGTTCTTACTAGTATCTGCATTGGTCTGTATTAAAATGCATTTTGTATGAATGGGGCCAAATTTACCAAGCAATCCAGATCGCTTTGTCCAACTGTCCTGTGCTCATTGTTATTTGTCATTGTGCCAGTCTTTGTGTCAGATTTCAACAGCAATGATTCTTTTTTATTTATTTCAAGATCATTGCTGAAAAAGTTGACTAGCATTTGGACTAGTACCAATCCCTGCATCTCCCTCCCACAAATACTGCCTGAGAGATTGCCCCTCAAAGGCTATGGAGTAGGGGCACTTGGCATATAGCTATACACTACAGGGAAAGGAGACCTGTAGATACACTGGTTGCTGCTGTGGTGTATAGTTACATTCTGCAGTGATAGTCTCCAGCAGCGGGAAGTGGGGAACCTGCTGGAGTCTCTTACTGGAAAGGGAAAAAGCTGCTGTAGCAGGGAGATACTACATTGTTTAAAAACTGTAGATATGGGAGGTACTGCCTGGGTGCACTGAGAGCCTGTGTTGGATAAATACTGTGGGTGGGATTAAAGTATGTAGGACACTCTATTAGCCTAAGTAGTTTCTCCCTGTTTATACTGTTATTTATATGTGTGCTAGCTAGGCATACAGTGTCTGTACTCTACTGCCATGTAGATGTCCCTTAAGTGATACACTGCCACAGCTCTGATCAGTGGACGTAAGGGAGCTAGATTTTTCATTTTAAAAGGAGGACATTCTCTTAGGAGGTCTCTTTGCTCTGTACTTTGCTTCCTTCCTAGCCACACTTGGTCCACCAACCCCTGAATTCCTGCACGGTTCCACCATCCTGCAAGACTCCTGTTCACCTGGGCATTTGAAGAGATGATGGGTTGAGGGAAGATTTTATTTTTGGTCAAATAATTACTAAAATGGGATGATGAGGAGGTGAACAAAAGAGCCTACCATCTGGAAAGAGAACTTATTGCTGTTTTTATTGCCCTGAGTAAATGATGTAATAATAAAGGCTTTTTAATGGGTACCTTAATGCTCTTGGCCTGCTACATTACTTGAGCTCGCGGTCTCACACTGCATCATAATTAAGTTTTTGTATAATTTTATTCATACGTAAAATGAACCATGGTATAAAAAATAACATAAGGCTGTATTTTTGTGTGTTTGAACAGCATCTAGTACACGGCTACTCAACTTTGGAAGCCCTGGGGGCCACAATGATACTCTCAGCACATGCTGTGAGCTGCAACTTAAGTGTGGTTGCATATACATGCAAATAGCTTCTTTCACACTGATAGGCATGAATACAAAGATTAGGGCAAGACTACCCATTTAAGTCAGTTCTGCTGATATTCATAAAATGCAATATTTACCCGATTTCCACCCATATCACACCACTTTTAATGAGCAATGACAGTCCAGTTGTGGAGTGTGTTCCCAGTGGAGACCATATTCACAGGATGCCACCTGTGAGCCGCATGTGGAGCCCCACATAAACCCAAACCACACCACGGGCCGCAAACAAACAGGCTGTGGGCCGCATGTGGCCTGTGGGTCCCCTGTTGAGTAGCCCTGATTTAGTACATCTGATATGAGCCTAGGCCATGAGTAGGCTCCTACATGCTATGATACAAATAATAAGGTAAAAAAATCCTGAATGTATATACATTTTAGTTACGTTCAAAAAGCCCATCTACTAAACATTTTTAAGTAACTTAATTTCTTTGACACATGAATCTCTACAAATCACTCCCAGCTTTTTCTGCTCTCTGTTGCACCATTGTGTAACATCCCAAGGGCCATTATACCAACTGGGGAAAAGCCAGAGTGTAGTGAGTGAGCACTAGCCATGCTTGTTTCTGCTCTGACATGCCTGCTCTCCCAGGAGTGCTGAGAGAGGTTGGTGTGTGGCAGGCTATGCTAACTATGCTCCAGCTGAAGATTTCCTCTAGGCCAGTGGAATTCTCAATAGCTCCTGTTTTTGTGCTGTAGCACAGAGGCCGTTCAAAGGGAACTTAGTGCTAAGGAGCTGGCCCGATGTCTTCAGGCCATTAGCTGTGACTAATGCCAAAAACTAATTGCATCTAAGCGGACACTTAATAAAATCATCCCTAGAGAATGTAGGATTTGACCCTGAGTTGCTGTCAGTATGCCTATTTCTATGTAGTTAATGGACTTAGGCCAATTTATACTAGCAGGAGATTTGGCCTGGAGTATGTTGAATAGCTAACAGTGGTGATTCCCAGAGTGAGAGTGGGGTTGAGAGTTTATTTTGGAGTGATTTGGAGCTATAATTAAGAAAGATGCACTTTTTTTTTGAGATTGGAGTGCTTAGATCTGTTTCCTTGTCTCTAGGTATGCCAGGTGGCCTTGGCCTTGCAAGAACATACTCCAGTTTGACAGACAGATTTAACAGATGAAGGTTAGACAAACATCTGTCACGGATGGTCTTAATCCTGCAGGGGACTGGACTAGATGGCCTCTCAGTCCCATCCAGTCCTATGAATATTTAACCCCACCCTTAACTGTGGAGTCACTCTCAGGGCCTGTGTAATACACTTAACAGCAGTTCAACTGATGTAATCTAATATAGCTTTCAGATGTAAAAATGTTGCTGAATTGCATGTCAGACTTCAGTGAGGCTTAAGTGCGTTGGGCCTAAAATACAACTGAGCTAAGCCATCCTAAGATGGTTTGCATAACTACTTTTACACATTCTTACCTACTCTAGCTCTCATTTCAGAAGTTCAAAAGGGCTTTTTTGACTTTGGTAGTCTAGTTCTAGTAACTTGCATTTAGTTAACATTTGGCTCAAAGAGTATTAGCTCAATAAAGTGTTTCTCATAGTGGGCTGTGGGTTCCCCTGGGTAAGCCCCTGGCAGGCCTCTGCTGCTTTGTTTATCGAAAGTGTCTGTAGTCATGGAGCCGTGCCGTTCCCATTGGCTGCGGTTTGCCATTTCCAGCCAAGGGGAGCTGCGTCAAGTGGTGTGGTGAGAAACACTGGATTAAACTAATATTCTTTGAGCCAAATGTTAACTAAATGCAAGTTACTAAAATCACTCTGTGACGTAAGTGTAGTTCTACTATAAAAAGAGACTGTAAAAATAGCCCATTTTCATTTATTCCACAGATTTCCTTTCTGATGTCCAGGCAAATCTGTAGACTTCAGTGCCAGCACTATGCTTTTGCTACATTTTACTTCTATTAGTGATGCAGAGCCAATGTAGATATGGGGATTGAGCTATATTCTATCCTGGCTTATGCATCATTCTCAGAACTATTAAAGTGCCAAATGGAGAACTATATTCTGACCTCAGTTACACTTGTGCAACTATAGGGATGACAGTAGGTCTACATAGATGTAACAACAGCAAGAAGAGAATTTTCATTGGTGGTGACAATGTGTAAGGCAAAAAATAACTCAGCTTGATTCTCAGCTGGCATTTTGGTGGAAATGTTTTTTGTTTTGGTCATCTGAACAAATGACATCTGGAATCAGTGAAAAACCATAAACAGAGAACCCTATGCTCTCATCTTCCCCAAGTCACATTTTAGAGTAGAACCTAAATCATATGGATTTTCTTGGATTGCTCCCGGTGAAAGGGTTCTAGTTTTCACATTTCTTCAGCTGTAGTGTGTGGAGATCATCATTTCTTAGTGTTTTTAGAGCTAGCTGTTCAGAACAAGAGAAGAGAGCATCAGCTCTCAAGCCCTGGTAATTAAGCTTTGTGTACACTAGAAAAACATTTCAGAAATGACACTCCCTAAGGAAGAGTTCTTTAAGTGATGTCTTCATGGATACATGGCCCCTCCAACACTGAACACTCCCTGCAAACATAAAATCTTTTTGAAGAAGGTCCCTGGGAATTAGTGAAAGTGTTTGCAAGTGCACAGTGAATCTATAATTATAGATGAATATGATAAACCGTAGAATGCTGGGAAAGATTTGCAGCAAAATCTACCTGGTTTGTTTCATTACACAGTATGCATGGACTCAGTTTCCTGAATGCTTTCCAAATCTGCCCTTGTTTTCACGAGCCTTGATTAATGTTCCTTTTGCAGGAAAAATGTGTGAATTCATAGCATTTCATGATTTCAACATGAAACCAAGGGAAACCTGAGCATTTGTGACTTCTTTTAGTCATGTACAAAACTAAAACACAGATTATGTGAATTCACACAGAATGAAATGTCAAGAGATCATCACATAACTCCCATGAGTTTTATATTTAAATATGCTTCAGGTCTGATGGCTAAAACCCTACAATGAAGATTTACATTATTATTCATTTGTATTATGTATTGTCATAATGCATAGGAGCCCTGGTCATGGAACAGGACCAGTGTTCCCTCTAATTCTTTTCCATCCATGTGCAGAATAAATGTTGTTACATGCACCAAGGCATGTGTGGATATGCACCACCAGTAGAAACTGGGATGGAGGTATCTTGGAAAAACTCTGTCACGTCCAGGGAACGCGGGTTTTTTTGGCATCCCCGTAAACCTCGTTTTACGAGGAATAAGGGATGTTCTGAAAAAGGGTTTTTTCCTGACATTTGGCCCAGTGTAGGTGGGCCAAATGTTGGAAAAGCCTCTTCTGAGAAAAGAAGCAGAAAAAGTTACGCAAATTGTGGTTCACAATTTGCGTAGCTTTTTCCGGAAGAACAGTGCAGTGTAGACATAGCCTAAGTGTAAGGCAAGAGATCACAGCTAGGTAAAAGCAGCTGAGGGAGTACAAGGAAACAATGGGGTAGTATTGTCTAATAGATAACATAGCCCAGGTCTACATTAGACTCAGAAAGTTGGGTTAAGGTAAGCAAATCCAGCTATGTAAAATATGTAGCTGGAGTCATCTTAACTTAAGCCGAACTTGGCAACCTCTTTACAGAGGGAGGCCAATGAGAGCAAACACTCCTGTCAGCTTCCCTTACTTCTTGTAATACCACAGAGTAGAGCTGCCTTCAGTGTTTGATTTAGCAGATCTTAAAGTAGATCCACTAAATCAAACACCAAAAAATTGATCTCTGGCATGATAAGTGAAGATGTGTCCTTAGTCATGATGCGGTGAAGGGTAGAACGCAAGCAGAGTGAACTGTGTGATGGTAGCAAATGGCATATGTATAGTTCCATAAGTTTTTGGTGTGAGAGGGGTTGACGGATTTACTGTGGAGGGGACCAGCTAAATGGCAAGGGAAGAGAGCAGGGCAAGGAGAACAGTGCAGAGGAGGAGAGAGTAGCAGGCGTTAGTATTGACAGAAGGTGAAAAGACTTGTAGAAGAAGGGGAAAGGTTAGTGCTACCCAGCCCAGGGCACACCATCAGAATATTCTCATTTGGACTGGAATGCCCAGAGTTCCTTGCTTTGTCATTCGTCAGAAGACACCTTTAAGCAAAGAGTTAATGTGAAACATTCTCTCATTTATTTGTTTCTGGTAATCATCCAACATGCAAAGCTCTGTACAAAGTTGTGGAAAAACACAACACTGACTGAATTACATGAAATTAGTGTAATTTGAGTAGATGTCCACTAGATGATGCAAATGTACTACAGAAAGATAAAAAATTATACCATGGCAAGAAATAATTATTTGCTGTGTTTTATTTTTTAATATGGAGGAGGGAAGCAGCATTTTTTTTTCAGTGGGTCAAGCTTATTATTTAATTTAAGAAAAATAGCCCCATCTTGTCATTCTAATCCTCTGCATTTAGGACACGATAAAAGCAAAATCTCTTGAAAGAACATTATCCCTTATTCTGCATGCTTCCATCTTTTATTCTCTTTTAACTCTCTTTTTTTTTTGTAGTTGCTTCCCCAAATTTAGAGCATGTCTGAAACACCAGTCCAAGACACAGACACTGACCTTGGCTAAATTTCTGGTCTGATGCTATTTTGGATCAACTCCATTGACAGAGCTCTGGGCTACACTATAGAATTAGGTTGACACAAGGCACCTTAAGTCTACCCAACTCTGTGCCTACACTAAAATTTTGCACCCATCAATGTAACTGCCATACTATGGTGACTTAATAACTCCACCTCCTTGAGAAGCTATCATAGAGTCAATTTTGATGTAGTTAGGTAGACACTGTGTAGCTTATGTGGATGGTTACTGGCTTTCAGAAG